ACCGACTTGAGAGGGGGTGTCAGAAGTGCAAGTCGGTCCAGGGTTTAGGGTCTAGGGTTCATAGACCGACGATCCACTGATCTGTGAGACAGGACGGCTGTTGAGTCTTTGTCCGTTCCATGAGACAGGCCATGGCGGACAGGACGTCAGACAGAATGGACTGACGCATACTACATGTCCTACGTGGACTCTCCACAAAATCCACAGACCTTACGTTGCATTGACTTCATCCTTTATCCGGGGACTGACCGCCCGGCAGATCCTCTCTTCACCATTCTCCCCGACTCTCTCCCCCCTATTCTGACACTTCATGCCGGCCATCTGTGCCTTGAGGACCTGAAATGCAAGAACAGAGCAAGCAAATCACTTATCGGTCCACATGGAGCTGTAGTTCTACCTGCGGGTCGCTCACATCTGCCGAGCGGAGCAGCCAGCTCATGTGCTTGAAGGTCTCGGGATGGATGGAGGGCACCTCGACAGACTGGGCGGCGTTCTCGGCGAACCCATCACCATCGAGAGCGGCAGCGAAGTAACGCGAGTACCTCACCCCTGCAGTGCAGTCACACACAAAAGCATGTGGGCGACACCATTCACCCTCCGCTGTCAGCCACCCATTTCTGCTGGACCTCACCTTGTGCTCGTAGAAGGTTTGCTGCGCATCGCCTGATCCCACGACCACCTTCACCAGCGACGACGCCTCAGTCATCTCACCACACACCTCTCCCAACTTTTCGCTAATCTTCCGATGTGTGGCGGTCCTACAACGCTACAGGAGTGCCCTTCTGGCCAAAATGTGATGAAACACGCTCTTTTTTGTTCCTGGCGATCCATCGAAAGCTTGCACGGAGGCTGGAAGCTTTCTGATCCTTATATGGCGGCGGATATAGGCGGCTACGTTTGCAGACTGCCACCCAAGGCGGAGATCTATCATCTGCACTGCGGATTTTGACAGCACTGATCTACTGCGGCCTGGAAGCCGAATCCTATCTTGAGCCTTTCCTGTTTGTGCACACGGATGTAAAGGATACATACAGTGAGTTGCATTCCTGTTTCTTTGAAGCAGCAGCATACACACGGCACTAAATGGTGTCAACTCATGGCCTGTCTGCTACTTGCTCGCCTTGATGTAGATGTATGTGTCGGTCCACTCGACCACATCCACACCAGCCAGGGACCTCTCCAAGTCAGCCATACCCTGAAAACACAAACAAAGATACATTCACTTCCCAAGTTCCTTCTCTCTCGCCTGTCCGCTCCTGTCGTCTGCTCACCTTCTCCATCTCATCGTCGGTCAGTGGCGCGAAGCACGACCAGAACCGAGACCGACACAGCGCCAGCCACTCATCCCTAGGCACACGCATGGCAAACCCCCGCTTCTCCACAGTCACGTCGTCAAAGCCGCCATCCCGCAGAGCACCCAGGAACACCTCCTCAGCAGGCTGATTGGCACTCCACACCTCCCGCGCGCGTGGAAATATGGGCACATGGTCTGCCGACTTCGGTCGCGTGGCGATGAGCACCACACCGCCGGGCGTCAGCTGCTTGTGGACGTTGCGGAAGATGGATGGGAGGTCCGCTATGGGCAGGTGGTGCACCACCTCCTTGAAGAAGATCCTGTCGTAGCTCTCCTCTGGCCGCGTGGTGAAGGTGATGCAGTCTTCGTTGACGGCCTCGACGCTTGGCCGCTGCTGCGCCTTGGCTGTCATGTTGGCGGAAGGGTCCACACAAACAGTGCGCCGCCGCAGTGAGGCCCGCCTGTGGATGACAGATGCGAAGGCCCCATCACCTGCAGACAGAGAAAGAGGCAGCAGGAATGCTTGAGAAGAGATCCTGGTGGTTCCATCCATTTTTCCTTTCCTCCCTCACCCGCTCCCATGTCGACGACTCGGTGGCCGGGCTTGAGGTCGAGCAGCTCGACGATGTTGGCGCTCTGCCAGTCTGTGGAGTCGCCAATGCAGTAGCAGTTGTCCTTGATGGCAGCTGCTGCGTCGTAGTGGTGATGGAGGGTGGCTGGGGCTGTTCTCGGCCTCGAATCAACAGCGGGGTCTGCTGAGTGGGTCATGGGGGAGGGAGGCAGGGCGCTGTATGCTCTCTTTTCCTTTTTCCCTCAGAGATCAGATCTCTGCATCACGATGGGTTCACGCCCGCCCTAGCGCCTTACCCCTGCAAGCAGATCTCAAACCTTTCAACATCGCCAAATGTCACAGTGTCCATCTCGTCAACGTCGTAGCGCTCATAACAACTCACAAGTCACTGATTTGCACTGACAACTGTGCAGTGAACTGTCAGCAACCCGTTGGCGGGTCAGTCAGTCACTCAGACGATGAATCCCCATTCCCTTCGTTTCTAGCCGTGGCTATGCTGACGGCCCTGCAGGATGCAGCGAAGTCAGTACGGGCCGATAGTGCTCCTCAAAGTGTCGCTCAGCCAACTCCTGGATGCCCCTGAGATGGCGCAAACACACAAACAACATAACATGCAACCTAGATGCGCCCACGAGGTGCTGCGTCCTCCTCCGCCGCCCTCACTTGAAGACGACATCTCCCCTTGGGAACTCGGCCAGCCTCTGGAACTCCTCGCCGCCGCCCCCCTTCCCCAGACTCTGCATCGCCGACCCCCACAGAGAGGCGCGGAAGTCCTTCAGCTCCTCCTCATCACGCACATCGACAAACGCAAACCGCTCGATGGCTGCGCGTTCCCTGGGGCTGCCACGAGGGGCCTGGGCCTCCTGAGTGGGTGCGGCGGTGCTGGTCTCGTCCTTTGGCTGTGAGGCGTCTGTCGCGTTGGCCGCTGTGTCATCGGATGAAAACTCCTCCCGTGATACGAACCACACATGGCGGTCGCACTCAAGCTGCACAGAAGAGAGGTAACATACCAGGTCAGCCACTTGAGACTGTCTGTCTGTGTGGCAGCATTCATGGCGTACAATACCTGCAGTTGAGGGACGGTCCAGCCGCACATTCCTGGGCAACAAGAGTAACACCAACAGAAATGTGTGGATGCTTCGATGTCCTGTCCCTCATGCAGCCGGTTTGTCTACCAAGGAAGAATCGGAACCGAGATGGCGCCACCTTGCCACTCCGAACCTGAAAAGCGCAGAGATGGACACACGCCGGCTGTCATGGGCGTCTCTATGAGATTGTGTATCTGTCCGACTGACTGACCAATTCGGCTGCCTGTTCAAGGTCAGCTCCCAGGAACAGACCCGGAGTGATGAGCCGCTTCGACTCCACCTCCTCGACGTCATGCACTATCACCACACTGCACACAGACAGAGATCATCCGCGCGCTCATCTGGAAGCACTTCCTTGAATTGTGCTATGCTGTGTTGTGCTGCATTGCGTGTGCCTGACTTTCTTTCGAGTGCATCGCCGCCCCTGAACAGCCGATTGTGCGCAAAGGGCTCCAGCAGCCTCTCGAAGTCAGGGGACTTTGACGAGCTCCCACTGCCGGTGCCTTCAGGTATGGCCGCCTCACTGCCCTTTTTGCCCTCGTCTGCCGCCTTGGTCTCCTCACTCCCTGGTGTTGGTGCTGGTGCTGCCTCCTGCTCTTTCGGAGGGGCAGGGGAGGGGGAGGCCTCTGGAGGGGTGGAGGGGGGTGAAGGGGGGGACGGGGGCGAGGTCTGCTGCTGTGGTTGCTGTGGTTGCTGCGGTTGCTGTTGTGTTGTCGGGTTTTCCCTTGATTGTTGCAGGAAGTGGCCGACTGTGGTGGGCAGGGGGTGGTTGAGCACCACTCCCATGATGGAGCCGTCAAGGGCGTGGGTCAACAGAATCACACTGCGATAAAGCACCGGCTGACGGACATCAACACCCACACACACAGAAGAGAAACAGGTGACCATCCGTGTGTGGTTTGCTGCCGCTCTGCCTGACCTGGAAGACACATGCCGCCGGGTGTGCCACGAGCAGTGAGCCCACCCTCAGCTTGTCCTCCGAGAGCGGCACAGGGTGGTACGGCAGCGCAGGGATGTCACTCCCCAACACATGCGGGAACGTCACGGGCGGCGGGAACCTCTCGAAGGTGTCGACCACGTTGTTGAGCTGCCTCAACAGCCTGAAGCCCCCGGTGCCCTCGAGGTCGCTCAGCTCGCCCGGCGCCCTCTTTTGCCTGAAATGCGACCTCAGCACGTGCAGCAGCGAGGCCTCAGGGCGGTAGTGCTCGCCTCCCGATGTGAATTCTCTGAGCAGGGCGTCTGCTGCAGACGTGGCGGGCCGCTGATCTGCATCGCCTGAGTGTGAGGGCGGGAAGTGGAGGATGGAGCGGTCACGGCGATTCCAGATAGAGGTGGGGCGGGAGAAGACCAGCGACCTGCACACACCATGTGCACAGATCATGTGTGTGGTGTGCATTGAAGGATCTGGGTGAATGCATCTGTGCTGGGTGGCGTACTTGTTGACGGGAGATTCATCTATCCTCGCTGCCGCCCTCAGGGCGCTGCGATAGATGCTCCGGCCTATCACCGACATCATGCAACTGCCGATCTCGCTCGGACGCTTGATCAGGCAAGCCGATTGTCACAATCGTATCAGCCGGTTGCTGGTTCCTTGCCTTCTTCCCTTTCCCACTTCGGCTGCGAGCTTGTGGGGCGAGAGGGGAGGATACGAGAGGTCTTCTTTCCTCGTTCTTGAGGCGCCCTGAGGCGGGTTGTGTGTCACCCAGGACTTCGCGAGCAAGCTGCCTTCATTTTTTGTGGACGTTCGCCAGGATGAATGTGGACGTGAGGGCTCATCTGGAGCGTTTGGAGAAGCGGGTGGACATGTGCGAGGCGCTGCTGGGGATGGCAGACATGGAGGGCCAGAAAGGGGGCGGCAAGCCCGTGTCGGTCAAGAAGCAGATAGCGGAGCTCACCGGCAAGTGCAACCGCATTTTCGAGGGTCCCATCCGCGAATTTGAAGAGCGATGTAGGCCTACACGACGCGAGAGAGATGACGCTGCATCCTCTTTGGCGGTTGGTTCATCCATGTCTGTCTGGCTGTCTGTCTGTCTGTCTGTCTGTTCAGACAAGAGCATTCAGTCGTGGCTGAAGGCGGAGCATGCGGATCTGTCTGACGTTGTCATGAACACGGCGGCCAAGCGGGCGTATGTGTTGGAGCAGGCCGACTTCCTACGCCAGACAGCCCAGCAGCTCAAGGAAGTGGAGGAGATGGAGCAGTTCATCAACCCACCTATCATGAAGGGTGAGATGGAGTGGGTCGGCATGACACACACGACACCATGCAATGTGTATGTGTATGTGTATCTGTGTGTGTGTGTGTGTGTGTGTGTGTTGATGCAGAGATGCCCACGTACGCCAAGCAGTTGGAGAAGATCGAGTCGCGAGGCCACCTGTTGGCTGACGCGACGGTGCGGCTCAACCAGGAGGTGGAGCAGCTGGTCGACAACTACGCCATGACGGTGAGCTCCTCCGCACACACCTCCGACACGAATGGTCCTGAATGCGTGATTGATGGATGGGTGTCTTGCGTGTGGTGATTGATGAATCCATCCATTCCTCAGATGAATGCCATCTCGACTCTGCTGGTGCAGTGGGACCTCATCATCAAGGAACTGGAGAAGAACAAAGGCACCAAGTGACCAGCCGACGCTATGAATCACTCACTCCCTCGCTGACTGACTCGCCGGCCGGTCTGTAGATAGCATAGCTAGTGTGAGATGGGAGAAGCGGGCAGACCACTTTGCTTCCCGCGTCACTCATGGCGCATGCACTGACGTGTGTGACGTATGCATGCATTGAATGATGACTTTGACACCGTGCTGGAGGATGTCACCGTGAGGTTGGTTGTCGTCTTGTCTGCACATTTTCTGCCCACAAATTCAATGTGCGTGAGTGCCGTTCTCATCATCCATTCGCTCACTCATTGACAATCGCTTAATTGTTGATTCATTCATTCATTCATTCATCATTCACCCATCCGTGTGTTCGCCAGTATTTGTTGCTTCCCTCTTCTCCTTGAACAAGACCTCCTGTTAACCTGCGAGCTTTCTTTGCTTCTGGCCTTTCCCTCCCCAAAGGGGCTGTAGGGATGCACCACGTGAGAGAAGCAGTCTGTATTCAGTAGATCTGATCGTGAAGTTTCGTCGAGAAGCTCAGATGACTCTGCACCTCATCGGATCTCGCTCGCCGTGAGCATTCTCCCGCCGCGAGTCCCGCGTCAGAGTGATGAGCGACTTCAAGCAGCAGCGAGGCCTGGCTGGCAGCGGGCGCCCAGCGGCTGCTGCTCACACCGAGAGGGAGGGAGCGGTGCGGCCACACGTGGAGCCGGGCAGTGGAGGCCAAAACACTCGGACCAGGCAGCAGGTCAGTGTGCAAAACAAACGCGAGAAGGCGGGAAAGCAAGATGTTGTCATCGCACACCATGCATGATGTTGTCGTGTGTGTGCAGCAGGTCTGCTCCAACACACTCTCTGCGTCAGATGGATACAGCGTGCAGGGTGCTGACCCGGTGAGCACATCATCATTCTTCGAGAACCTGCGCAAAGGCCTCACCGGCAGCACCAGGAGGGCGCTGTACGAGGACAAGAATGAGGAGGAGCCTCCGCCCGTCAGAGAGGGCGACAACCTGCGAGTGGGCCGACCAGGTCAGGAGGCGTCAGGGAGCCGCCGGGTTGCAGGCGGGAGCAGGAGCCACGTGGCGTCGAGTCGCAGCGAGAGGGAGAGGGGTGTGAAGCGGGATGTGGAGGGGCAGCCTGTGAGCATGAGATCGGCGACCGAGGGGAACCAACAGGAAGAGAACCCCGAGAAGGTGCAGAAGCAGCAGGACCGCATTCTGCCGATGAGCACATCATCATTCTCCGAGAACCTGCGCAAAGGCCTGACCGGCAGCACCAGGAAGGCTCTCTACGAGGACAAGAATGAGGAGGAGTCTCTGCCTGTCAGGGAGGGCGACTACCTGCGGGCGAGACGACCAGGTCAGGAGGCGTCAGGGAGCCGCCGGGTTGCGAGCGGGAGCAGGAGCCACGTGGCGTCAAGTCGCAGGGAAGGCGGGAGGGAGCGGGATGTGAAGCGGGATTTGGAAGGGCAACCGGTGAGCATGAGATCGGCGACCGAGGGGACCCAACAGGAAGAGGACACTCTACAGAAGAAGGCTGTGAACGACTGGGTGGGGAAGATAATTCAGAACAGCCAGGTCGGTAATCATGACACGACAGACAGACAGACAGACAGACACACAGACAGACAGATGCAGAAATCCAGATGCACGCACACGCACACACACCTCTGCATGCCTGTCACTGGTTGGTTGGCTGGTTGATCGACTGAATTCATCAGGCGGGAACCAACGCAGATCGCGTCGGTGCCGGCAGAGAGGACAGCGATGACGATGCAGACCTCTCGAGCCGCCAACCCAGCCGCCCCGCCCCACCACAGGCCAGCAGCACTCGCCTCAAGCAGCAGCAGCAACAGCAGCAGCAGCAGCAGCAGGGTGGTGGTGGCCCGACCCCTGGCAGAGCCTTTCTCAGCCGCAATCTGGCTCAGGGCCTGGCCGCACAGGCCATGGCTGGCCCCGTGGAGTTTGGTTCGGCTCCATCAGCTCCATCAGGGGCGTGTGAGGGTTTGGCTGTCGGGCACAGCTCTGAGGAGGACGACAGCCCCCACTCGGTGCTGGGCAACAAGGAGCTGACAGGACTGAGCGAGGTCATGATGCGCCAGAAGATCCGCGAGATGGTGCGGGACAGAGGCGGGATTGTCGACAATCAGGCCAATGACAACGAAGGTGGTGAAGGTGAAAACGACCACGAGCAGCCAGGCGACCCCGCGGACATTGCGGCACGGCGAAGGCAGCTGAGCGTGGTTGAGGAGAACCTCAGCCTGCTGCAGTCGCGTCAGGGAGAGATCGAGCAGAACCGCTACTTCTCCAAACCGACCTTCAGCGACTCAAACGAGGACAAGGAGCGAGAAAGGAAGCTGCAGCAAGATATGATGCCCAACTTTGGCGACCCCTCACAGCTGGGCGAGGTCGACTGCCTCGGCCAGCAGGGCTCGCCCCTCTTCTTCGGCAACAACCTCAACAGTACCCTCGGCATCCCGCCGTCATCGGCATCAGGCGCCACCCAGCGGCGGGCTCGCCGGCGGGCTTACAACGACGATGGGTCTGACGATGAGAGCAAGGCCGGTCAGGGCAGCAAGGAGCGGCACTCGCGGCTCGAGAAGGGTGCCACCAGCAGCCAGGATAGTGCCGACAAGGTGCAGAAGCAGGGGAACATCAGCCTGCTCCACTCCCTCTCGGAGGAGTTGAGAATCCTGCTGGAGAAGAACCCCCACTCCTCCAAGCCGTCAGACGAGACGCACCTCGGCGACTCACACGAGGAGGATGAGCAAGAGCCAGGCCTTTTCTTCCCCCAGCACGACAGAGACCTCCCCCAGCAGCAGGGTAAGGCCCCTGCCCTTGTCGGCAGCTCGTCGCCCTTCGTCTTCCCGGCCCATCTCGACGGCACAATCGGCGCGCCCGACGGGCCCACATCATCGGCGGACACCAAGCAGACGGCTCGTGGGCCGCCGCACAGTGATATCAAGGTGCGAACACACATCAATACGGACACATACAGGCATCCACATGTCTGTGACGTCCATCTGCGTCAGGAGAAGACTCCTCTAGATGCGTGCGGCGTTAGTGAGGAGGGGTACAATCGCATGCTCGCTCGTGACAACCATAGCAACATCGTCCCTCCCGACGAGGCAGCATGGATTGTGTCGGAGATCGCCGAGCAGGCGAATGAGTCGATTTGTCGGCCTGGTGGCGCGTGGAAGCACGAGGTCGCTGCCGGCCTCAGGCAACGCATGCTCCATCACCGATACTTGTGTGTTCGCCTGCGGAGCGACAAATTCGGGCTGAGCACTTCCTCACATCGGTTGTATAAACACGGGGTAAGGAAGCACACATCAACCACACGCATTTTATCATGCCCTTTCCGCATGTCCGTTCATGCAGTCCCTCTGTGTTTGTTTGGCCGACGGGTGCGAGAGTGGCGACCCCTCCCCGCCGACATGCCCATCCCCACAGGAGCAGAGGCACTTGGAGGCGGCGATCGGCGCGACGATCCAGCAGGTGCAGGATGAGGCGGGCGCTAACGAAACGGGCGGGCGCTTTATGGAGATTGCTAGAGTCGCACAGATGCTGATGGACCAGCTGATGGATCGCGGAGTGGTCCTTGACAGACTTCCCAAGACCATCGTGCTGGTGTCGGTCGAGGAGCTGCTTGACTCTGACGTGTCCCATGATGGATCCGCTAGCGGGGTGTCTTGCAAGCGGGGCTTGTGGTTCCACTACATCAGATGGAACCCCCACAGCAGCGACAGCACCCTCAGCAGCTTGTGCGTCGACGGACGTGCAGAGGGCCACGCCCCTTCCCACGCCCCCTCCCCCAGCCCAGCCACCACTGCCGAAGGCCAAAGAGAGGCCCAGCCGACAGGCCGAGCACAAGAAGGTGGCCGCCAAGGCTGGACGAGCGTTCGAGGACATCCCTACCTCCATCAGCTGTCATGCCATGAGCGACAATGACCTCGAGAAGGCCTGCAAGTGGGCCACACCACACACAGCTCCCATGCACACCGTCGGATATGCACATCATCTGATTTGTGAATGTGTGCGTGTGTGCATGTATGTAGGCGTTACCTGCGGCCCAAGAAGGAGGCCGTCTCGGCCCTCAACCGCCTGACCACATCATTAGACGAGACTTACGCGCTCAGCGTAACGCGGATTCTCCTGCATGACGTCGGAGCGGTAGGGACACACACGAAGAATCAACCAGACAGGAATGAGTCTCTAGCCGTCCTGTGTGTCACTCAGCATGTGGATCGGATAGTGTCGGCCGGTGCTGACGCGGAGAGCAGAAAGAGGCTCGAGGAGGCCTGCTGGAAATACGTAGCACGGTGAGGAAGACAAATTGATGCACAACACAAGGTCAGCCACCAGGGCATGCATGCCTCATGATGTGTGTGGTGGATGTCTGTGGGTAGGTTCGCTTCACAGGGACCCGGCGGCTGGCAGGTTGTCATGAAGGCATACGAGCGCCTCAAGGAGGAGGCAGAGTTGCTTTTTTGCAGCCCCGCCTCCCAGCCATCCGGGCCCCCTCCACCCGCCCCAGCCTCTCAACCCACACCAGCGCCAGCAAGTGAGGACCAACCGACCAAGCTGCTCTCACTGCCCACCGCTCCCTCTCGGCGCCAGCAGGACGCCCCTGACGTCAGTAGACCGATCCTCAGCCCCAGGCTGGAGGATGATGAGCCGTCCGTCGATGTCGAGCCTTCGACGGCCAAGGGTGTGTCCTCATCTGCGGCGGCCTGGCCATCGGCTGAAGCGTGGTATGGTGGTCTGCTCGAGGGAGATTACAGCTCTGAGGATGACGACAGCCCAAGCTCACTGCTGGGCAGCAAGGACACAGCAGGGATGGACAGGCCGGCAAGGCGGCAGGCGATGGGCAAGATGGTGCGGCAGAGGGACGAGCTGGCTGAGACGGAAGGCGGCGAGCAGACAGACGACGCGTCTGGTGTGCATTCCTCGGCCGCGAGTGTGACGACGGCGACGCAGCGACCGGCTCTGCTGGAGGGGAACATCAACCTGCTCCACTCCGTCCGGGGGCAGCCGGCACCCAAGACGCACTCCAGCCACTCACACGAGGAGGATGAGCGAGAGCCAGGCCTTCTCTTGCCCCAGCACGACAGAGACCTCCCCCAGCAGCAGGGCAAGGCCCCTTCCCTTGTCGGCAGCTCGTCGCCCTTCGTCTTCCCGGCCCATCTCGGCGGCACCATCAGCGCGCCCGACGGGCCCACATCATCGGCGGACACCAAGCACACGGCTCGCGGGCCGCCGCACAGCGACGATGGATCGGATGGTGAGGACGGGGGCGATGCCAACGAGAGGCACTCAGGGCGCAAGGAGGGCGTTGCCGGCAATGGATCACCCCTGTTCGCGCGGCTGGATGGACAGCAGCAGGAGAGCCTCGGGAGGATGAACTACAACAGCCAGAAGACGAAGGCCATGGTGCGGGCGGTGCGGGAGCTGTGCGGAGAAAACGAGCTGGTGCCGGCAGAGGGGCGCAAGACTGTGCAGCTGGAGAAGGGCCACTCGCTGCTATCCCAGCTGCCCATCTCATGCTACCTCGACCCGTCCTTCATGGACGGGCTGCTCTTCCGCCACGCCCTGCAGGCGTGTGTGGTCCACGGGGCGGTCGGGTCGCTCGAGGTGCTACTGAGGGAGGCGCTCGTCAAGCCGACCGAGAAGGACAAGAAGAAGCTGAGGGCGGGTGAGGTGCGGGCCAAGAGTGACGGGAGGGTGCTCAAGTGGAGCGATCTGTCACTGGATGCTCTCGACTCGTCGCTCATGTACCTGGACGAACCCCTCAATGCCGTCGCTGTAGAAGGTGCACAACGACACAGACAGACGACAGACAGACAGACAGACGGACGGACGGACCGGCTCCTGTTGCATGTGTGTGTGCTGATTCTGCCTGTTTGCATGTTCAGTGTATGCGAGGGCGCCCCTCCCTGTGCAGGCGGCCGTGGCCAACGCACCCGTAGAGATAATGCAGGTACACCCTGAGCTTGCCGTGCTGGTTGCGTGTAATGGAAGCCTCTATGTGTCTGTGAGCTATGCAGACGCTGCTGGCGTACAATGCCGACGTGAATGCACGACGGCCTGTCCCTTCTTGGCGCACACTCGTCACGTCTGCAGCTGGTACTGACCCGCAAAGGAGGAGATGACTCGAGAGCACAGCCTCACTGCATTGTCTCTGTGCCTTTGCCCCTTCTGTGTGTGTGCAGGTGCGGCTGCCAGTTGGCACCGTCCTGATCTCCTTCGTTTCCTCCTGCGTGAGGCAGGTGCCGACCCGTCAGTCCCGTCAGTCGTGAGATTTGAGTGCGGAAACGGTAGGTAACACAGACCACACATCTCGACACATGACGTTCTGCCTTTGCTTCCTGACACGTCAGGCCTCTGCGTCCCCGATCGTTATGACCTGCTGCAGCTGGTGTGCCTGGGCCCGCGTACCGAGACGTCCCCACACACACCCACACACACATCGGCACCGGGGCGAGAGGACATGCAACAGCGGCAGGCCGTGGCCACCATAGAGGTCCTTGATGCGGAGGGACTGATCAAGCACGGCGAGAAGGAGAGCGGCATGTTCGACATCAACAGCAGGGACCGGGAGGGCGACACGCCTCTGCACCTTGCCGCCATCCGTGGCTGGCCCAGCCTGGTCGAGTGGCTACTGCAGAAGGGGGCCGACCCTGGGGCTACCAACAGCTACGCCCGGGACGGAATGCTACTAACACCACTCGACATCGCACGCATGTGTGGCCGGAAGGTCAGCTAAGGAAATGGCGTCCAATGAGCTGTGGCAGCGAATACGCTCTGGCATGTTTCGCAGGAGTGCGAGGCCGTGCTGTTGAGGCATCTCGCGGCCCACCCGGGCCACGCAGCCGGCAAGAGATCCTCCAAGGCCACGGCAAGCAAAGCACCGCCACATACACACACGGTCATACACACATCACACTCTCTTCATGGATGGATGGCTGGATGCAGGTAGCTGCAGCTGTTGGGATGGAGGAGGGCGGCAGTGTGCAGGCACCACCACCACCCACGGCGCAAGAGAAGAAGAGGCAGGAGCTGCGCGAGGCGGCGACCAAGGGAGTGGTGCAGATGAAGGCCACGGCGAGGGCGGTGCGGGAGGCGTGCGCACACGACCTGCTGACGCCAGAGGGGCGGCGCAAGCGTGTCGATCTCAAGGAGGACCACTCCCCGCTCTCATCGCTGCCCAAGCCCATGATCACCTACATGAACGGCCTCGTGCTCAAGCAGGCCCTCCACTCTTGTGCTGTCCACGGCTCGGCTGGGTCGCTCGAGGCACTGCTGCGGGATAACTTCATCAAGCCGACCGAGGGCGGCAGCGAGGGGCTGCCGGTGGGCCAGGTGCGGACGGCGAGCGGGGAGATTCTCAACTGGCGTGATCTAACGCTCGCCAGCGTCGAGCCCTTCGAGAGCGAGCGGCTCATCGGACGTAAGTGGAGAGCCACATAACAGAGCCAAGGAAGATCCGTCCCGGCTCAGGTTATGTGCGGAGGCCTTTGCTGATCGACGCGATCCTGGCAATCTCGTATGATGCTCCCTCTGTGCTGCAGATCGTGAAGGTAGGCACTCAAGTAGGCTGCATGAGATCACTTAGCCGCCTCATGCGTCCGTCTGCCTGTCTGACTGTGTGCAGTCGTTGGTCGAGTACAATACCGACGTCAACGAGATGGGCCTCGTGGCTGAGAATGGCCAGAGCGGACAAGAAGTGTCTACATCTGCAGTCGGTGAGCCCCCTTGAGAAAGGCAAGACAGGAGGAGGAATGCCAGATGGATGCCAATCTGACTTCGGGTCCTCAGGCGCCGCTGCCTTTGAGCATGCTCCTGAGGTCCTCGACTTCCTTCTGCGGCAGCCGCATGCCGACCCATCAGTCCGCTCTGAGGGAGACTTTCATGCGGGCATGAATCTCCTTCAGCTGGCCTGCGTCGGGGCACCGGAGGAGCTGCCGCAAGACAGCCAAGATACCGAAGGTGAATTAGTGATCGATTGAGCCAGATCAGCTCGTGTTGAGACTCTTGTGTGACAGCTTCCCAGCCCCCTCCACAGCCCAAGGTCAGCAGCCGCAAGAGCCGCAAGAAGGCCACCAGCAAAGGCAAGTGTGCCGATTCACAAGTGCAAGAGGGGGGAGAAGAGGAGGCGGTTGGCATAGCGACAAGGGAGGCGAAGGAGAAGGCGCTGCAGTCGCGTGCAGTGGCCACCCTGGAGGTGCTCGATCGCCACGGTCTCATGCGGAGCGCACCGACCAAGGGCAAGGGAGGGCGGAGGAAGGGGTCCGTGCTCAACATCCACTGCCGTGACGGGCAGGGGAACTCTCTGCTGCACCTGGAGGCCATCAATGGGTGGTCTAGGATGATCGAGTGGCTCCTCGCGAAGGGAGTCGACGCTGAGGCGGTCAACAAGGTTCGGCTGACAGCACCCGACGTCGCACGCAACTTTGGCTGTAAGGTCAGCCAGCAGGCATCAAGGCGCACCAGTGACAGGTTGTCCGTCTACTTGTCTGTTGTATGGTCAGTTGTGTGTGGATGTGTTGGTTGCTCATCTCGAGTCGCGTCGGAAGGCTGCCGAGGCCGAGCTGCTGCGTGAGAAGAAGATGGAGCGTGAGAAGGAGGAGAGGGCGGCCAGGAAACGAGAACAGAAGAGACTCAAGGTACTGCTGCTCTCACGGAGACCTGCACATGAAGCCATGACACCTGACATTTTTGTGTGTGTCATTGCCTTTAGCGTTTGACGGCAGCGGCTCAGCAAGCAGAGGCCGAGCCAGCCAGTGGGGAGACTGAGGGTGGTAACAACACACAGCACGAGACTCAAGAGGTAGATGATGCGACGGATGAAGCTGCTACGCCGAGCTGCCCGCCAGACACACATGACGACAGGTACAGACAGGCCCGCCGACACCTTCACGTCGACACATCTGTACTTGTGTGGTCTGCAGTGTCGAGCCGGCCCTGTTTGACGCCCCGAGTGACCACCAGCAGCAACATCTCCTTAGCCATGAGCCTCCGGATGACATGGGCCCCCCGCCCATTCCCTCCACCGCCCTCCGGCCTGCTGATGGCGCACCGGCCAGCCACTTGTTGGCTGACCCTTACTACCAGCCGCTCAGCTCATCGTAAGTCACACAGAGGGCCCTTAACCACATGGACTCAACTGATGGTGCCGTGTTGTGTGTGTGATCCATCCATCCATCAGGTCATCGTTTGTCGACCCGCCGGTCCCATCGACGGTCAGCACCACACCGGCCGACCGGCCCTCCACAGCCCAGCCGTCAACCCGACCGGATGAGTAAGGCAGCAGACACAATCGGTCCGCTGTGTGGCCTTTCGCTGACAGTGTGGCCAATGTGTGTGCAGCTTCCCTCCGGCTGATGGCGTGGCTCAGCTGCGGGCTGAGCTGAATGACGCCATCGACAAGAAGGAGAGGTCAGACGGACACCACACGGCCGTGTATGTGTTTGACGCAGCCACACTGTCGCGTGTTGGTCTGTGTATCGTCCATGCCTGTGAGCAGTCTGGAGGCTCAGTACGGCGATGTGCTTGAGGCCCGTCGGCGGGCGACCGACCGCGTCAAGGAGCTCAAGACAAACATACGACGACTCAGATACGTCACACCCAAGTGAGCGATACACACAAGGAGAGGGCCCACACAGCGGCTCTGTTCTGTGTGCTGTTGATGCAGTCTGAGCCAGGATGTGTTGGCATCCTTGTCCACTGCTGCTGAAGTGCGTGAGCTGGAGGCCAAGATCAGCCGCGAGGAGGAGCGGCTCGACGAGCTGCTCGTAGCCGCAGAGCGGCGTGCCAACCAGCTGCAGAGCGGCGCACTCAAAGCCAAGAAGGCACCCGCAGCCGAGCAACAGAACGCCCCGGCCGCTGCCGCTGCTGCTGCTTCCTCCTCTGCAGACGGGTAGGATGGGGAGAGAGGGACTGCCATCTTCATTCCATTGGTGTGATAGCTCCGTTGTGTGTGCGTCAATCAGGTGTGGCGTGCCAGTGTGTCATGAGATGAGTGTGTTGCTGAACGAGTCGTCGACTGAGGAGCAGCTGCTCGAGGCCACAGAGCACACCCAATGTGACATAGACCAGTAAGACAGAGCGCTCCCTATGCCAACCAGCAGCCATACCCCTGCACACGTGTGTGTGTGTGTGTGTGTGTCAGGTTGGAGTGTGACATCTCTCGGATGACGGAGGAGCACATCAAGGCCGAGGCGGCCCTCCAGACACTCGAGCAAGAGCACCACACACTGCAGCAAGAGGCAAACAAACGGTAACCAAAGGCCCACAGACACACACAGACGGGCCGTCATGCGCCTCTCCCTCTGTCTGTTTGCTTGCCCGTCGTCAGGCTGACCCCTACTCGTCTCGAGTCGCTCACGAGCATCGCAGCGGTGGACGCCTTCAAGCGCGACATCAAGAAGGCCAATCAAGAGCTGCGAGAGCTGTCCAAAGAGGCCGCTGTGCGTCATGCTGCACTCGAGAAGGAGGAGACGGCTGCCGCTGCCGCTGCCTCTGGCGATGGCGGGGAGGGCACCTGCGTCATGTGCATCTCCAAGCGGCCGACCGTGGTCTTCTTCCCGTGTCTGCAGGTCAGCGACCACACACAGAATGACATCTCATTGACTTCATTGTGTGTGTGTGTGTGCAGAAGTGTCTGTGTGAGGGTTGCTGGCGTGAGATGGCGGCGGCCCACGATGCGGCCAAGAGGGAGAAGGCGCGGCTGGAGGCCCTGCAGCGGCGAGTGCCTGATGACGTCGCCCGGGACGCCCAGCTCAAGTGCCCGATGTGCAATCAGGAGGCCCACTACGCCAGCACCGTCGACGGCATCCGAACAGCCACATGATCGGCAACACAGGACGGCTGTTTGTATCCCTGTGCGTGCATTTAAGGGCATCATTTGCGTGTCTATACATTCGTTTTTGTGTCCGTCCCATTCGACCGTACCCGGCCGGCCGGCCAGTGGGCCGCCGACGGGTTTGTTCATAGCGTGATCTGTATCTGTGAGCTTTTATTCACTTCACGTGTGTGCATGCTGCTTGTTCCGCGACGGCAGATGCTTTCGTGCAGTGGCTTCATACGTGAGTTCAATCCCTGTCAAAATGCGAGCTTAAACTGACATGCGAGCTGGAATGGAGAAAACACGACCGGCAGAGGAGGGCGCCTTGTTGTAGTTTTGGCTCACACCCACAGACAGCAAAGAGCATAGAATAGTTTCGCCCCTGACTTGGCAACGTTTCCCCGATTTCACGCCTGCCCGGCTTCCGAGTGACGCGCCATGGGCAACTTGATTCTCTTTCCGGCGCCTCCCGGCTCGGTGAGCAAACAAGCAGGTGGAGCGCAGTGGCCCTCTTCCCCTTCTCCCCTCCCACCTGCCTTGTGTGCTTCTCCGTCTGTGTGTGCGTTGCCTGCAGTACTCGACGGACCTGAAGGGCCTGATATGGATCCCCAAGCGTCATTCGGGGGAGGGCGGCGGCAGCGACGAGCGGTTCCCTGCGCTGTTCATCAAGTCGCCGACGCCGACCAACCACAACCTGTTGTACTTCCACGGCAACTCGTGTGACCTGGGGCACATGCGGGAGGAGCTGGAGGTCCTATCGCACATACTCGGCGCCAACGTACTCGCCGTCGAATACCCGGGGTCAGCCACATCACACAGCGACGCACAACGGAACGCATCGTGGGGGCTCACCTGGTCTGTCTGTCTGTGTCGGTTTCGTGGTGCATTGCAAACTGCACACAGGTATGGTCTGTCGTCTGGTTCCCCGAGTGGGGATGGGATCGATGACGTGGCGAGGGCGGGTTTTGACTGGCTGCATGAGGCGTGCAACGTGCCAGCCAAGGCCATCATCGTATTTGGGAGGTCCATCGGCACAGGTGGGTGAGGGGTCGATGGGACGGACACGCACAAGGGAGGGAGACGGCTGGCTATTGTCTCTGTCTCCTTCCTTTGTGCGCGTGTGCAGGTCCGGCGTGTCAGTTGAGTCGTCGTTTGAAGGAGGAGGGCAAGGGCGTGGGCGGGCTCGTCCTACACAGCCCATACATATCCATTCACGCAGTCGTCAAAGGTTGGCAGCTGCCCGCCCGCAAGCCAACAGACACACACGTGCGGCATCCCTCCCTCCTCTACTTGACGTATGTGTATGTGTGAACAGACTACGCCCACGTGGGCACTCTGTTGATTGGCAATTTGTGGGACAACGAGGCGAATCTCCGTCGGCTGTCCCCCGACACGCCCCTCTGCCTGCTCCACGGCGAGCGGGACGACGTCATCCCATCATACCACTCACACAGACTCAACAAGGGATACAACGGAGAACTCAAGGTCGGCACCCGCACACAGAGACAGACGGATGGCAAGAGGGAGGGTGCTCAGAAAGCTTGGTTGTTCATCTGTGCGTGTGTGCGTCAGATGTCCAAGTTCAGTTCGACCGCATCGCACAACGAATACGACTTCTACCAGGTGCGGTGGGCACACATGCAGACAGACAGACAGACAGACAGGCCGACAGACAGACACCCAGTCATGCGCTCATTGCATCTGTGTGCTGTCTGTCAGGATCTGCTTCATCCCATCCAACAGTTCCTCCGCCACTACTCGCACTCCAGGTAATTGCCCGCGAAACCTGCCAGACAGCCAGACAGGCCAAGAGAGAGTCAGAGAGGCCGACCGGTACACAGCGCAGGACAGGACAGGACACGTTGGTTTGTGAATGGCTGGCTGCTGGTGCTGGTGTCATGGCATGTTATGGTATCGTACACTTATTATGTACCCATCCATTCACACAGACACGAACTTCGCCGCCCCGTGGATGTGCCTCCATCGTGTCGGCAGGTCCAGCCCCAAAGTCGACGTCGCCATTCGCCCCGATTTCCCTGGCAGATTGGCTGCCGTGCCGCACAAGCGGCCTCCTCTGCCAGCAGCAGCGGCAGCAGCTCCAGCTCATCCCAGAGCCGCCGCAGCAACGCCGCCTCTCTACCCTGGAACTGGGAAGCACCCTGCTCAGACACAGACACCTACGACCGACAACAGGCCGGCGAGTGCTGGAGTGGCGGGGGCCTTCCGAAGGCCGCCCCTTCCCCACCCGACCTGGACCAAGACACCGACACAGACGACACCGCAGCAGCAGCAGCCGCCCCAGACCCTGGGGCCGAAGATATCACCTCCGGTCCGCCCCCAGGAGACGCCAGCCCCGTCCCCGCTCCAGATGGAGAAGCATCGCTATGGAATCCTAGCCCGGTCAAGGAGCGAGGACCTCGTGAGCAAGGCCGCCATGTACGGCCACGCTCCTGCTCACGCGATGCCAGCAGGCGACAGAGCCGCGTGGGCGGCGGCAGAACACAAGGCCTGGCAGCCGCCACCAATGGCGCACCACCCTCACAGAAGAGCCTTTACACCGCCGCCTAAGGCCGCTGCTATGGCCGCAGCAGCGGCAGCCAGTGCGGCTCCTGCTGCTGCAGCGGTTGCTGCCCCTGCTGTTGCTGCGCCGAGTGTGGGTCGTGTGGTGGTGCGTGGGGGTGCACCTGCTGGTGTGGAGCGGCAGAACAGCTTCTGGGGCTATGGCGGGGTGCGGGCCGCCAGGGGCATCAGGCCCGGGGCGAGGCAGCACACCGACTTCGGCCTCATCTAGCCTGCTGTTCTGCTGCTCGCTAGCTGTGGCCATATGAGCGCGTGAAGATTGCACGGCTGTGTGGGTCGATCGTGGGTGGGTGATTGGTTGGTGTGTGTGGGAGTGAGGTGAGCAATCAACTGGGAGCAATGACTCTTTTGGGGGATGGGGCCCTGCGTAATGAAAAGGGAGGGAGGGAGGGTGGGAGTGAGTATGTGTGTGGAGAGTTGGACGTCAGTATGTACCGCGACCGAATGCAATGACCGAATTCCGTCTTAACGGGCTGAAAATGACGATGACTGCGTTTCCTTCGTACTCTCTCAAATGGCTTATGTTATGTGAGCCAGTCAGGTTGAGAGTTTGTGTCAGATGAGTCTCCCACCCGCCCATCCGTCCATCCATCCATCCATCACGCAGGCACGGGTTTAGCTAGCTATTGTACAGCTGGCGAACCAGCCTCCATCCCACACGACACACACACACACCATCCTCACACGCACACAGCCACACCGGTTGGTTGGTTACCCTCACTGAGCTGAGCAAGTGAATGGCAATTGGAGTGAGTGAGTGAAGTGCAAAAATCAGCCAGTTAGCTCCGTCGTCCATTCCCACATCGAGCCGATGGCGGTCATCCGTAAGAGTCAACCACCGTGGTCATCCGTAAGAGTCAAAACGGTCAAAAGGTCATCGTCGCAGGCAGAGAGACAACAGGCGGGCGAGGCAGTCAGTAAATGGGCAGCAGCACAAGCACAAGCAGCAGGCGAGAGCATTAGGAAGCATCAGGCAGACAGCAGGCAGGCAGGCAGGCAAAACTGTGTTGTTGGTTTGTCTGATCCACCGATGCAGTTCAGTTCAGTCAGCCGATAGATAGATTGAGTAGCGAGCATTAGTCAGGCGAGCGCGTGCCATGGCATGGGGATGGCATCCACCCTTATCTACAACCTCAGCTTAGTTAGCATGACACCCAGACACACACAGGCACAGGCAGCCAGAGAGAGAGACGTGACAGACAGGCAACCAGGCAGTTAGGCAGGCAGTCAGTCAGGCAGGCAAGCAGGCAGGCAGATCTCTCTGCCCGTGTGTGTATCGTTGTGCAATGCGCATGGATGCGTGTAACCAACCGGCCAGCACCAGCCAGCACCACCCACACACATCAACCATGGCGGTTTCCGCGCGATGACGATATGATGAATGCATCAATCAGCACTTACTCACAGGCATACACACACGCACAACGTACACGGAGACGCACAGGTCTGTGGGATGGGAGCCATCGAGAGAGTGGAGCGCTGGATGCGCATCGGTGCGCATCAGGTTGAAAAAATCACCCGCCGTCGGAGAAAAAGCAACCGTGGACTGACTGGACGGCAGTGAGCGTGGCACACACACTTACTCTTGCAGCCTGTCTGTCCTTTGACTGCACTGCTCGGTCCGCTCTGGTGTGCTGCTCTCATGTATGGCAGGCCAGCACGTGAAACTGCAAGCATCGAGGCGTTGCTGATGCTCGAGAGTTCACGTGCCCTCCCGCCATGAATGAAAACATCACACGAGGCGAGATCGGTCTGCATCCATGGGAAGGGTTTCCTTCTTTCCACCCCTCAGTCAGTGCTCACGCTCGAAAAAAAGGGTGCAGCTCCATCCACTCACTCTCGTGAAAAACAACAGCGGGGCGGGGTGGCAATGTAGCAGGTAGCACTAGATTGAGAGACAGATACCACGCTCACAGATACAGCCAGCCCATACCAACCATCCAATTCCCTCCTTGACAGCACTCGCCCATCACCCAGCCAGCCAGCCGAGTTATCCACACACCGTCACTCTCTCTCGACACAGGCAGGCAGGACACCTCTCCCTCCCTCCCTACTCGCCCTACCTAGTGAGCACTCATTTCTGTGTACGCGTGGATAGCATACAAGGCGAACGCGCTCTTGGGCAACCAACGGTGTGCACGCCACGCCTCAACACATGCTCACACCACACCACACCAGACACGGCACGGCACAAGAAATTCATCCATCTATCCATCCGATTCATACCATCAATCAGATCACATCACTCAATCGACGGTAAAGATAGGGGAGGGGACAGGGGTGACAACGGGCGGGGATACATACATGGGTGGCTGGGTGGGTAAGTGGGAGGGTGCATGATACATAGGTATACAAGGTTGGGTCCGCGCGGCCCCCGGTCGTCCGTCACATGATGGTCTTGCCGAGTGCCGAGGCGATGAGCTCCACGCCGAGCCGCACCGTCTGAGTGCCCTTGATGTCAGGGTCGTCCTGCAACACAACACACAAGGGAAGGAAGGGAGAAAGAACACGCATCAGTTGATGGCTGTGAGGCAGGCCCTTGCTCATTTGTTGGCTCCTACCCCGTGCAGGTCTTCCGAGGGTGTGTCGATGAGCGGGTTGATTTCGACCAGGTCCATGGAGGTCAGCCGTGAGGTCTCCGCCATGGCCTCACAAATGTAGTGCACCTCACGATACGTCAAACCGCCGCGAGCCTTGGTACCTGCATGCATGAGAACAACCAACACAACACAACATACGTGCATCGGTGGGTGCGTCCGGAAAAGCCTTCCTTGCGTGAAAGTGCGTGTGTCGCCGTACGTACCAGTGCCAGGTGCGACGGCGGGATCGCATGCATCGACGTCGAGTGACAAGTGGAGCGGCCGGCGGCCCTCGGGGTCGATCTTCGACAACGCCATGTCCCTGGAGACACCCAACCATACATCGATGCATCACAGATGGCCGTGTTTGCGCGCGCGCGTGTGTGGGGTGTGTGTGTGTGTGTGTGTATGTGGGTGGTTCAAGTAATGTTTCCTCATTAAGTGCGTGCGCACATACATGACTTTGGAGATTCCGTATCTGTCGACATCCTGCATGGTGAAGCAGTGGACCCCCGAGTGCATCATCATGTCCTTCTCGGCGGGGTCCAGGTCGCGCAGCCCCACAAACGCTATGCGATTCTCAGGCAGTGTCGGCACCTTCTGCATCCACTCAAACCCCTGACACCACACCGCCATTGCCAAAGAGAAAGAGAGAGAGAGAGAGAGAGGTGCAGATAAGTGAACAGCAGCAGCAGGGTAGGGTTGTCTCTGTGTATGTGTCTGTGTGTGTGTACCGGCACTAGTTTCTTGAACCAGCCCAGGAGGTGGGCTGCTGGCATGCCGTGGTAGTTGCCCGAAGGAGTCTGATGAGACCACAGACACATCGAGAAGGGTTCCAATCAATCTGCTCATCTGTTTAGCCGTTCGCCCACCGTTTCGGGCGTATTGCAGTCGCCGTGTGCATCAACCTGCATGGAATCAAACACACACACACACACGTGCTGACTCTGGGTGGCTGCACTGGTGGCTGGGCGGGGTGTGGGTCAGGTCAGGTCAGTCATTTCCTCACCCAGATGATGGCTAGGTCAGGTCGCTCAGTGAGAAGCCCGGCTATCGACCCAGCAGCGATGCTGTGGTCACCACCAATAGTCAACACAAACTTCTTCTCAGCAGCCGCGTGCTGCGTCTGCACACACACGCACACACACACGTACGAAAGGACATCCCATCCACAAACCCATCAGTCCCCTGTTCCCTCCCTCCCTCCCTGACCGCGTCGTGTATCTTCTTGCATGCCCGCCCGACCTCCCGCGAATTCTTGACGTTGGTGTAGTAGACGGCACTCTCACCACTGCCATGGGCCTCACCTTCTCCCTCTCCCTCCATGCTGTCGTCCGAGTCGCCCTTGAGGCTGGTGGAGCTCTCTACGGTGGTGTATCGCGAGGGAGCGTGGGGGTTGATGTCTCCCCAGTCCTCAAACGCAAAACCCATCTTCATCGTGTACGCACGCAAACCAGCATCCCTGACACACACACACACACACAGAGGCCGGCCGCATTTGATCACTCACCTGGTTATCTCCCTCCCTCCCTCTCTGTCTGTCTGTCTGTCTGTCTGTGTACCTGAGCGCTTTTGGCCCTTCGTCCACACCCTTGAGCTCCTGCCCGTCATTGAACGGCGCACCGATGTACGCCACAGTCTTGTCACACAGCAACCGCTTCTCCAACCTCGCCATCTTGCTAGTCCGACTCACAGCGTCCGCACCAAAGTCAGCAGGCGTCTTCTTATTGCGATTCAGGGCATCCGGTGCGACATCGGAGGCCGGCAGGCCAACCCTCACAGACATGCTGCTGCACAGGAGGGGATTCGGTCTCGTGTGTGGCGTGCGGGCGAGTCGCGAGGTGCTGGCTGCTGCGGCGGCAAACGACAGGCGCCTGAATGACGATAGCACTGCTGATAACGGACGCTGAGTGCTGATGAAGCGAATTCAACAGAGGACAATATCGCCGAAGAACCAGTCGACGGTGTCTATGACCACAAAACAGTGCTGAGTGCACTCCTTCACACCCCTTTTGGCGCTCGAGTCCTGCGGAGAGTCGGCGAGCTCACCAATGCGAGCTCAACGCGGTCGCGAATCTCGACACCGATTTTGAGAAGGCATGGAACCGACAAGTCTTTGCGACGTGTCGGGTGTGCACTGCAGTCCATCTGTGCTGTGCATGACTCATGTATGTAAGACCGATAAAGGAGAGGTGTCGCATATATCGCACCAACACATCAGGATGCACTCAAGTAGATCTGATAAAGAAAAATGATGGCACTGAGCGTCTCTCGACATCACATACATACTGGACAGACAGACAGGCAGCCAGACCGACAGACACAGGAGGAGACACACAAGGCGGCAAGGAGAGACGGCACGCGTACAGCAGCACATCGACAAATGTATGTATCTATGTATGTATGCATGTATGTAAGTGTCTACACATCTGGTGTGGCCTCGCTCACCTACACAGACAGACAGACAGACAGACCCATCACGCACGACACACTAACGCCATACACACCAGAAACCACACCACACCTCGCCACGGCCGCACCGTCAGAAAGACAGGGTGCCGCACATCCATCCATCCATCTGTCTGTCTGTGTGTCTGTCTGTCTGTCGGCTGTTGCCTGTTATGCTTTGAAACGACAAACCGAATCATGCCAAAACTCCACGGCCAGCAGCAGCAGCAGTGACCACACGTCCAGACGGACCCACGCAGATACGTACGTACGATGACCTTATAAAACGCTGCCTGCAGGGCCGGCCCGGCCTGCCACACACCTCACACGAACATCTGAGGCACGTCTCTCCGTCAACCCACCCACACGCTGTCAGGCGTGTGAGTGTGCACGTGAAAAAGGGAGTCTCGCTGAGGGGTGCGGTGGGTGCGATCGATCAGCGAGGAGGGTGGAGGGAGGGGGATGGGAGGGACGAAAAATACGAGCCCCACCCGAATCCGTCGCATGGGACACAGATCAGTCAGTGGGTATGCACGGCATGCATACAGGCGCGTGTCTATTCGAGTATGGTTATCTGGTCCGAATCAGCTCCTGTAATGAGAGCTGTCGGGTACGCCGTCCCCAATCGCTGCTCTAGACAGACAGACAGCCTGTGTGTGAGGACTTCAAAGCCGTCCTTCCTTCCTCCGGCCTGGATCGGCACACACGCCTCCGCAGAATGAACACGTGCACACGCCCGCCACCCCAGCCATGCACACGAATGGCAGGCAGGCATTGAAACACACACACCTCAACTCAAGAACACAACACATCCATCTCTCACATCTCTCTGCCCTCTGTCTCTCTCTCTCGCGTACACACATGAAGGCACCAATCAATGCAGCCATTGAAGTAGAGCATGGGAGGTCGACCGTTGCACATAGCTACATAGATACAGACAGACACGTCGCACATGTGGCCTGGCGTGGCGTGGCGGGCCACGTGTGTGGGGATGGATAAAATGATGGTAGTATTGTAAGAAAAATGATCAGATAGATCATATGGTGGTGGTTGGACACCACGCATGACATGTGTGGAGGGGATCGTTACATAACCACGCCACAGACAGACAGACAGACGCAGTGAAAGCACTTGAGTGACCAACACCAACAGCTAACACATGCACCCACGCCCCCCCCACACACCCATCCACACACCGAAAAAAGCACCCAGGCAGCAGGCAGACCAGTGGAGCATAGCATGATGCATCTCTCCCTCCCTCCCTGATTGGTTGGTTCATCTATCGTATGATAAGTATGTTGTTTTGGTTGCCCATGGGGTCGGTCTCCATCGGCTCATTCGGGTTGCACAGCCACACGCCGTCAACTACCAACTTGTACCTGCACACACACAACCACACCACACCACACCACACACATCCAAACCCTCCCTCTCTCCCTTTACATCCGGTGCTGGCTGGCTGCACTGCCTACGTGTATCGTCCGGGTTTGAGTGCCAGGTCGAGTAGGAACTGCTGAGTGGCATGGTCCCACCTCAGCGGCCGCCGCACAGCCCACTGGTCGAAACTCCCCGTCACAGTCACCACACGAGGACGAGGCTGCACACACACACATCAGACAAAGATGGATCAACCAACCACACACACACCATCGTCCATGCGCCCGTCACAGTCCCCTCCCTCCCTCCCTCCTCACCCGTCCATGTGATGGCGTGAATCGTATCGTCATCGGCCGTGTCGCCGCGGCCACAGCAGACGCGGCCTCGGGGCGTGTTGGGGCAGAGTGGAACAGCTGCTCTCGCGACTGCGGCGCCAGGAACGGAGGGATGGGCGCCGGGCCCCGCTGCATCGCCCGCGGAGGGGGCGCAGCACCACTCACAGCCGCCCCCCCTCCGGGGGGTGTGGCCTCCCTCACTGTCCGCACAGCAGCATGGACGTCCTGCTGTGACGGTGAGGGGCGCGGCGACGGGCCAGGGACGGGCACAGGACCCCTCGGCCGCTCGGGCGCACTCCCGGATGAGGATGACTTGCCGGGGCTGGGTGGCATTGGGCGCTGCCCTGGGGCGGTTGACGGGTAGTGGTATGGGCTGGCCATGGGTGGCGGACCGGCAATGATGGGGCCGGTGATGCCGGTGGTCTGGCCGGCATACCCACGGGGGGCGCCTGGTGAGGGAGAGGGAGAGGGAGAGGACGGCACCTGGCCACCAGGGGACACCTGCTGGGCGGCCGATGGTGGCCGCGGCTGGTAGGGCGGGGACAAAGGGGGAGGGGCTGCGGCCTTGCGAGCGGTGAGGAAGTCCGGGGGGGCTGACGGGATGTGCTCCAGGCCGATGCTTGTGGCAGGCTCCTGTGGGGACGGCTCGCGCGGCCTGCTTGTCATGTCGGGTGTGCCGGCGTGGTACGTGGGCTTCTGGGTGGGAGTGGGCTTCTGGGTGGGAGGGGAGGAGGGGATGGGGCCTTTGGGGATGGGCACGGGGGACTTGCGCCTCGTCGACCGTGGCGCGGGAGCAGCCTGAAAGTAGGGTGTGGATGGGAGCTGGTTCTGGTCGTAGCTGGGCTGCCGCTTGAGCACGGGGCCTTGGAAGGGCGGGAAGGGTGACGAGCCGTCTGGTGGGGCGATGACACGACTCACCCGCTTGGCCTTCTCCTCCTCCTTGCGCGAGTCGGCCTCCTCCTTGGCTGGTGGTTGACACACAACACACGCACAGGCGACAGAATGATTGATTGGTATGCACTCCCTACCGTCTGTTGGCGTAAATAAATGGCGTACCGAGTCTGTCGAGCAGCGACGTGCCTTCTGGCTGCTGTGACAAACGGTCCTCTGACCAAGGGGGGATCTCCTTGAGGAACTCGGCAACCTGGAGGAAGGAGTGGACGAAAGGACAGACAGACAGACAGACAGATCCGTCAGTCACCTCAGGTCACCTGAGTAGCTAGATATGTCGCTCAGTTCGTTGATCTCTCACTCACCATTTCGCCGTCGAGGGGTATTTTCTTCCTCAGCCTGCAGAACTCCCCCAGCCATGCCTTGGCCACCTGCTCGCAGCTCACGACGCCCCTCCGGGCGTTCTCCCGCAGCCAGGCATACTGCCCTTGGTTCTGGAACACACGAATGGCACGCTCCATGGCGAAGATGAGGTCACCCAGATGGTACGCCTCAAAGGTGAAACCATTGCCCTCCTGATGGACACCAAATCACACACACACACACACATACTCACAGATGCCTGCCTCCCTCCACGTGTGTGTCGCTTGTGTGGTGTGTTGGCTTCACTCTCTCACCGCTGTCTCCGGGCTGAATTCTGAGACGGTGTCCTTGAGTCCGCCTGTCTTGTATGCGATGACAGGAGTGCCGGCCACGAAGAACTCGTGCTGCACGATGCCGCCCGGCTCGAACATCGACGGCATGACGGCGAAGTCGGCGCCAAGGTTGACCAGCGCCCCGTCGGTGAAGAATTCATTCGGCTCGGCCCAGAAGTTGTGCCTGGTGGACGACACACAGACACAAAGAGACTCAGAAACGTGTGGTTGGTCAGGCAGCTGGCTAGGCAGCGTAGCAGCGCACCTGAATTGCGACTTGAGGTGGTTCATCTGCGAGGCGCATCGTGCCGAGTAGGGTTCCCGGTGGTTGGCAATGCCGCCGATGAGAATCTGAATGCGTTGGTTGTATCGCTTGATGATGCTCTCGGCGGCGTCCAGCAGCAGGTGCACCCCCTTCTGCTGGGTGATGCGGCCGATGAAGGCGAACAGCGGCACCGTGGGGTCGGGCATGTCGTATCCGAAGTACCGCACCTGTATCCTGCCCTTGGCCTCCATGTGTTTCTGCATGGCGTTGCCCTGGCAGTTGAGCTGCTGCAGCCGCTCCAGCCGGGCCTTGATGGGGATGCCGTTGGGGAAGGCAAACGGCTCCTTGACGCGATTGAGTAGTGGCGCCAGGGCGGAGGCCTGACCAGTGCCCATGCCGCGAAGGTCGTCACGGTAGGACCGAGACACAGTGCCCCACGAGTCACACGTCAGCAAGGCACACCTGACAAGCAAGATACACACACATCGAATGCGAGCACGCGTGGCGGAGCAGCACAGCAGGGAGGGTGTGGTGTCAGTCAGACTAGACTGACCGTGAAGGGTTGATGACATACTGCCCCCAGTGCGCGTCGACGAGCAGGTCGATCGGCAGACCGTGCACGTGACTCAGGTCCTGACCCCTGCGCACACAAGCAACGCACACACGATGAGAATCGAGCAGTCACCGCTACCATTCGGTTCCTCACTTGGCGGGGTAGATGCGTCCCTCGTAGGTGGCGTCGAGGTTGTGTATGACGTGGAAGAAGGTCGTCGACTCGTACGTACGGCCAAACAGACCCTGCACGGCACGGGCGACAGATGCATGACATGCATGACACAATCGTGTATCTATCGTCCGTCCTGTGTCTGTTTGTGCCTGTTGGTTGGTGCCATGCCCACCTTCTTGGCGTATGCGGCGCACAGGCCAGTGGCCCAGTCGTTGGTCACAAACAGCGAGGGAATGGTGCTGCAGCCAACAAATACAGAAGAGTAAGACATTGAGACAATCCAATCACATTATCAATGTGTTCAAGTTGGCGTTGCAAGCGTCCCCTAGCTCTCACCGTAGCTGGCAGCAGATCTCGAGGGGCGCCTTGCCCATCGCAGTCAGGAACTTGACGGCGTGGGCCGCATCGAAATCTGACACACAGATGCAGAGAGAGAGAGAAGGTCACTCACGTGTCTGTCCAGTATCATTCAGATCGCCTTCTTGGGTGTTTGTTGTGTGTACCCTACCCTACCCTACCGGGGTATGGGTGGGGGAAGAACTGCGGGTTGTGCATGAAGAGCAGCCTGACGCCGTTGACGCGCCCCTCGTGCACCCCGATTGTCAGCTTGTCCCACCCCAGCTGTATCTCGATGTTGAACTTCCACTCGATGCCGTCTCGCTTCAGGTACCCACTCTCGCCCTTGCGGTTCCGCTCGTAGTAAGGCGATATCACCCACACCTTCACACGGGGACACGCACAGCGGATGTGTCTGGCTGGTTCCAGAAAGCTTCTCATCTTGTTTTGTTTTGTTTTGTCCGTTGTGTGACTGACCTCTTGTCCGAGTGCAGCCAGTGACCATGAGAGCTCATCGACCATGACGCCCAGTCCTCCCACCGTCGACCATCGGCCCAGCTCGGGCGCCACAAACGCGATGGGGCCGAGGCGGTTGGCATCCAGCAGGCTCTTGGCGAAGATGACCGCACCACACTTAGAGTCTGCACGCACACGCGCCATCAGGCATGTTGCATGTGTGTGTGTGGTGTGTGCGTCTCTGGTGCCGATGAGTGGCGTGCGTACTTTCTTTGCCGCCTTCCTTGATGCGCTGCAGCTTGGCGAAGAGCCTAGCGCCGACTTCGTTGTTGTGAAAGATGCCCGTCTCGACAAAGAGACTGTACAGAGAGGGGGCGTTCTCGTACAGCTTCTGCAAGACGTAGAACTCCTGTCATGATCAACACACACACACACACACACACACAGACACACAAGGACAGCACAGAGCATGCCAGATGAGAGACATACGGCCCTCCCATCCGCCCCGCCGCCCTGTGTACCTGCAGCACCGACGCGAGCCCGTCAACATCCGGTCTGTCCTTGATGGCCCTCAGTATGTTGGCGAAGATGAAGTTGTTGCTGCAGTCGAGGCCGGCCTTGAGTGCCTCGGACAGCCGCCGGAGGCTGCAGGTGTAGAACTGCTGGAGCAGCTCGTTGCGGCTCTTGCCGTCGGTGGAGTTCTTGCGCTGGCGGTCGCTGGCGGCGAGGAGGGCCGTGTCTGAGGCCACCTGGACCGCCTGGCAGATGGTGCCGAATGCGGGGATGTGGAAGACGTGTTTGGTGTCGAGGAACTCGGTGAGGCTGAACATGTCGACGCTCTGCTCCGGCACACTCAACAGGTCAATGATCTCCATCATAGACGTCTCCTCTGTTCACACATACACATACACACACACGCAGCAATGTTCGTTCTGCGGGTGATTTAGCGGTTTGTCTGTGTGGGTGCATCCCTACCGTATGTTTGGAAAAGTGGCCACAGTGACTGGAAGCAAATGGTGCCCTCCACCTTGGACGTGCCGAAGTTGATGACCACCAGGACCATCTCGGCCCTCAGCGGGTCGAGCACCTCACCCCCGTCAGCCGGCTGCGTGCCCCCACCCACTGTGGTGGGCGCCGTCGTTGTGGCGGTCTTGTTGGGCGACCGCGGAGAGGTGCTGCTGCTGCCATTGAGCCCCCGTTTTGGCCTGACGAATGCGAGCACCTGTGGCAGCCACGCGGCGTCTGAGCCATGGCCGCTGGGGTTGCGGGCGTCGTACACCTTCAGCGGCACCACTGGACCCTGAAACACACCACAGACACACGGAGCAGGTTAGTGGGCTCTGTGCGTGCGTGTGTGCCGCTGTCTGGTCCCTCTGTCACCTGTCTGAACAGCGGCCATTTGTGTCGCAGGTATCGCCTGTGGTCGTAGTGCTGGCGGATCCGCCTCAGGTCGAATATACCGCTCATAGCGGCGTCCAGCCACCCCCCGCCCGGCCCACCATCGCTGTCAGCAGGGGCCGAGTCGCCCAGCACCTTCCGCTTGTGCTCCTCCTCCAGATGAGGCAGCGCACTCAGCTGCTCCAGCGAGTTGAGCGACCGCACACGCGTCAAAGGCCGCAGCGCCTCCGCGCCACTCTGTGACGGCAGCCCTCCCTGCATGGCACCTGTGGCACCGCGGTCGCGGGCACCGTACTGGTTGAGCCCGCTGCCTCCACTCTCCTGCAAGTTGAGCTGAGACTTGGACGAGCGGAGCCGCAGAAGGTCGAACTTCTCGGATGAGCCAGTGCGTGTGAGGCTGGTGCCGCGGTTCCTGGTGGTGCCTGTGTGGGGCAGGATGGAGCTGTTGCTGCGGTTGTAGCTGTGCCCGCCGGCGCCACGACGCAGCTCGGAGCGCTTGTCTGAGCCTGGCTCGAGGGGCGGGGACAGCTGGCCCATGGACAGCTGCCGCTGCAGACTGTGGGACTGGAACACGTTCGTCACATCGAGCCTGGATATATGCAAGAGAGGACGGTAAATGATGCATTGAGAGAAATGGAGAGGCGTCAGTCAGATGTATATACGCCTGACTGACTGACTGACTGACCTGAAGCTTCTTCCGGCCATTTCTCCGAAGAGGGTCATGGGGATGTCTGGGAGGAAGAAGAGCAGGTCCACTGCAGGCCAGGCACCCCGGCCGTACAGCAGGGCCGGGTAGGGCGACGACGGGCTGGTGGAGCCCTGAATGCAGAAGGCGCCGTCGGGCAGACCGTAGTGAGAGTCGTCCAGCCAGCGCTGAGCGATAGAAACAGAGCAGGTAGGTGACGTCCATCAGCGGCCCATCTCTCACGTCTGTGTATCTGCTTGTGTATGTGAGTAGTACCTTGAGTGATGCGACGGTCTCAGGTCTGTGCCCGTCTGTGATTTGTCCGTCGGCCTCGATGTGTCGGCCGAAGAGGCGCGAGAGAGTGAGCGGCAGCTGGTGCACGTGGGGCACCACACCTGATGTGCTCAACACGCCCTTGCGGTCCTCGAGACCTGATTTGAAATGGACAGACAGACCGACCCATGGATAAAGGCGATAGTGTGTGAATGGATGGCGGGGCATATATACCAGGTCCCTCCCAGCACTCTCCAATGACGAGGAAGTCGGGGAAGTAGGACCACATCTCGTTGCACAGCTTGACGAACAGCGGGTTGGGCCACCGGCCCTTCTGCACCGCCAACGTGTCCCAGAAACCGGCACCGACCTCTATCGGCAACACAATCTGAACACACAAACACCCCCCCACACACAATGAGACGACCGCTCGACGGACATCAGTTGCCCTTATTGTTGGGTGACTGACCTCTGCATCGAGTATGTCTTGTGGTCTGTAGTGCGGCTGTCCGTCGGGGTCCTCCCGTCCGAGCTCCTCGAGGTCAGCCTGCATGATCTGCGGCCATGCCTGTGCGTTGTCGAGTCGGACGCCGTCGATGCCGTATCGTGCGGCCCATGCCTTGATGTCGTCCACCAGCAGGTCCCACGTCTCCACCTTGCGGTAGTTGAGCATCGCCGTGTCCTCATACGACACCGACCTACACGTATCGGGCACCCACGAAACGAAAGGAGACCAACAATCATGATTTCACGCCCCATCAGTCGTCTTTTGTTGTATCGTCTTTGGCTGACCTGCCGTCGGTTCCGTATAGCATGACTTTCTTGCCGTTGTCGTCGAGGGTGTACAGCAGATGGGGACCATACCGACGGTGAGCCCTGCACCAAACACCACACCACACACACGAAGGAAGAGTGTCCACACAACAAACACATTGTATGCCGTCCTCCCAACACTCTGCCCACCTGCTTGATGCGATCCTGGACAGGCTGTCGACGACGATCTTGATGCCGACCTTCTTGGCCTCCCGCATGAGGTCCAGGAAGCCTCCAGGGCCGCCCAACATGCTGTTGGGCGTGGCGCGGCACGTCACGGCGAACGGAGAAGCGTCAGGTCTGGGGTACACGACGTCTCCCGAGTTGGTGTAGTGCGGCTGCCCGTTGTCGCGTGAAAGCGCGCCCATGAGGTAAAGTGTCGTTATGCCGCTCTTGCGCAGGCCGTCCAGGGCAGGTGTAACGGTGGCGAAACTGCCGCGGGACAGCAGCTCACCTGTTGAGACAAGACATATCACGCATGTATTGTGAGAGATTCGCAATCGTTCGTGTCCGTGTGTGTGTGTGTGTACCAGTTTCATGGTCGAGTGCTGCCCGCTTGCCGTCGACGAAGACTTCGTGCATTTGTTCCGAGTCCATGTGGGCCCTCTGGACGATCCAGCGGCCTTGCAGTGGGAACGACTTGGAGATCTCATCGTCAAAGTCTGTGCGATCAACACACACAAACACACATAGATGAGAGAGAGAGAGATCAGCAGTGCACGATCACGGCAATGGGGAGGGGGCAACGGGCAGCGACATACCTGGCGGTGTTGGTGGGGCGTCTCCCCTGGCTTGGAGAGTCGACAGGTCCTTCGCGCTGTTGGTTCGCTGCTGCCGGCGAGTCTGGCACACACACACACAGACACACACACACACGAGCGGGAGAGAGGTACAAAATGAGGAAAGAACCGCACCTTCTCTCCCCTGCCGCCTGCCTGCGTACCGTACCTTGTGTACGACCTCCCATGTGCCCCGCTCCACCGACGCCCGTACCACCCGCCAGTCATAGAAACCACACCGCTTCAGCGTGCCGAAGTTGACTCGACCCTTCCACCGGCCCTTCACAGCCGACGATGATCCTGCCTGCTCGCCCTCGGCTGCCTCAGGAGTGGGCGACATGAGCGTCCATGTGGGCGTGTGGAGGGTGACGACTCGGTAGGGCGAGAGGCGGTTGAATGAGGGTGCGGCGAGTTGTAGGAAGACGCCCTCGGTGTCGTCCTCGATGATGAACTCTATCTCGAAGGGGTCGCCCACCGACCGGATGATAGGGGTGAATGCAACCTGACAGACAAGCAAGGAGGGGGGGCATGCCAGGTGCTTGCCGTGTGTCTCGCTCTTGCCCTCTGTGTGTGAGTGCTGTCTGTGCGCACCGCACCTGGTGTTGCCAGTCTGTTCCGTCGTAGAACATGTTGAGCAGGACCACCGCCTGGCTCCTGCAGGAACAAATCAATGAACATACCATACAACACACGATGTCCGTCCGCCTGTCCGCTGCTGCGCTTCAGGTGCTGTGGGGGGTTGTGTCCTTCCTTGCCTGATGTCAACTTCATGGTGTCCGATCAGCGACACCAGAATGCGCTCCAACAGCTTGCGACTCTGCAACAGACAGAGGGACCACAGCACAACCGTTCACACAGATGAAGGAGGGGAAGGTCCGTGAGTGAGAGATGAATGTGTTGTCGCGTGTCTGACTGACCATGGCGTCAAATGGCGTGAAGTGGCCGTGCCAGATGCATTCCTCAATGTCACCCAGAGTGTCCTGCACGGCCTCAACGCCTGACCAAACACACATCCACACCAAGACATCCCTCACGTCCCGACGCACAGCACCCCCCTGCATCCCATCCTTGTGCTCACCTCCGCTGGTGAGCAGTGTGAGGTACCACTCGTACTGCTCGGCATTCAGCCGGTACTTGTCTCGCGAGTCCCGGTGGATCCGCAGGCCGTGCGCGGCCACCGTGCGGCACATCTCCCAGCTCGACGCAAGAATGGGCGGCGGCGACACCCGCAGCACCGAGGCGTCCCTCACGGGTCGGAGCAGCCAGCAGAGGGCCGCCTGCATGTAGGGGTCGAACCGACCGGCGCTCGACAGACAGAACCACAGGATGTCCAGGTCAACGGTGGCAAACACGATGCGCTTGGACGAATCCCACTCGATCGTGAAACCCAGGATGCCGCCACGCTTGTGTGTGAGGGTGCCCTCGGAGGGGCCGCTGGCCGAGCCGTCCTTGGTGGTGGCGGACGATGCCGATGTGGGCTGGTTGGCGGCCGCCTTGTCCTTGGACTTGTCCTTGGCCGACACGGCGCCGTCAAGGAGCGTGTGTAGGGACTTGAAGTCGAAGCTGAGGCGGAGCGGGGATGTGGTCTTCTTCTCGTTGGCCTTTGCCTGGGTGGCCTCCTCGTTGGCCGCCTCGCTGCGGTCGTCATCGCCGATCGTGAATGGACCCGATGATGACGGGGCGGCGGTGGTGGTGGGGTGTGACTCCTCGGCTGCACCGGTCTTCTCTCCCACTGCTGCATAGACGTCCCTGGGTGAGTCGAGCGACACAGCATTCCACGAGGCCGGCTGAAGCGACACGTACACGTGGACGGGCAGCGACAGGGGGCGGTATGGCAGCAGGATGTCGTTGTTGTCCTGCCCCTTGTAGCTCGTGTGGTTGTTGCTGCCGCTGCTGGTGGTCTTAGTAGGGTCCTTGTTGAGGGGACTCTCGCCTTTGGCCATAGGCGAGAGGCTGAGGTCCAGCTCGTTGCCGAGCTTCTCTAGAGTGCGGCAGAGGGAGAGCGTCTCGAGGGTGTTGGTCTGTCGCAGCGACAGGCCGGGCATGTTGGAGTCCTTGCGGACCGTCGTGGTGTCTGACGATGTGGGTGGGAGGGTCTCGCCCGCGTCGCTCTTGCCCTTGGTGTCGGCCTCGCTCTTCCGCGGCCCCTCCTTGCCGTCGCTGCTCGTGTCGCTGCGGACGGCCGTGGAGGCCGTGCTCTGGTGGAGCAACACCGAGTTGGTCAAGGAGTCGGTGTCGTTAACGAACCCTCCATCCTTCTGATGACCCTGCTCGTTGAGCAAGTTCCAGTCCTTGAGCGACGTCGTCGACACACTGCTGGCCGGGGCAGCGGTGCTGCTGCTGCTGCTCTCCTTGTTGCCGGCAGCTGACTCAGATGCTGCCGGTGTCGGTGTGGCCCCCCTGCCCGCCCCAGCCACCGCCCCCTCGTCCTGCCCGCCAATTCCACAGCTCTCGCTGGTGGTTCTCTTCCTCTCCGGCCCGCCGATGATGTTGGCCAGCAGCTGGTGTATCTTGAGGACGAGGCTCCTCCACCCGCCGATCTGGTTGAACAGATCCTTGTCGACGCTCTCGGGCGGCGCCAGCCAGTTGCTCGTGCACTTGGACGCCTGCGCCAACAGCGTGTACAGCGTCAGGTGGAAAGCGTGCAGCTCCTCCTGAGCTGACGAAAACGGTGGCAAAGACGACGATGTGGATGTGCTGGACGAGCTGGTCTCTTGAAGCACCGGGCAGGTGGCGGCCGTCTGTCGCTCCTTGAGGAGGCCCAGCAGTCGAGGGTCCAGCCTCACCACACGTAGCTCGTCCCGGCCTCGAGTGATGCGCTGTACGATGTCTGACGAGGCGGCCTTTGCGAGTAGGAGGGACTCGGACATGGACGCCACCGAGACAGCACTCTGACGGTCGGGCGACACGTCACGTGTGCTGGTGGGCACACACACCACAGGACCTGGGGCGGCGCTGCCCACCTTGGGCGGATCACTGCGGGTCTTGCCGTCCACCGCTGCCGCTGATGCCTTGCTGGGAGTCTTCTCCCGCGTGGCTGGCGGACCACCCCCACCCCCCCCAGCAGCCGGGCTGGCATTGGCTGCTGTGGTGCCACCACTGCTGCTGCCGCCCTTTGGATCTCTGCTCCTCTCTCTGTCGCGGTCCCTGTCCTTCCGGCTGGTGGTGGTGTCGCCTGCAGGTCCCCCTCCGTCTTTGTCCTTCCTGCGTCGCACGGGGGATGTGGTACCGACTCGTGTCTGGGATGTGCCGCGCGACGAGCGGCCCTGCTGACGAGACCGGCGACCCATCCTGAACCAATCCACCCACTCCTGGTCACCTATGCCGGCACACTAACACCATCACGCTGACTGACAAGGTCTGGCGGTCGGACGCTCTAACACGCAGAGTGGCGGAGCCAACCGCTGGCCGGCCTTCAAACACCTGCACAGTCCACACAAGCGCACACACGACGATTGAACGGCAGATCGGGCAGTGCCGTGCTGCAGGCACATGACACACATGCCGCGAGTGGCAGATCGGAGCACCTGATCTCTCGAGGTTTTTTACCTGCTGATCTGCAGCCTTGCAGCCGCTTTGATGAGGCTCTTGCCGGCTCCCACTTTTGCCGCTCTCAACTTGCGAGCTAAGTCGCCAGATTCCAAGCTCGCATCTTCTTCTCGCCGCGCCGCTCCCTCTTCATTCCCTTCTCCCCTCTCCGCTCGCGCTGCGGCTTTCGACGTATGTAATCAGTTTCCCGTGGCGCGTGATCCGCCGCGCTCCCTCGACTCGCCACGATGGAGGCTGGTGCGACGCCTGGGCGCACACGCTCTCGCCAAGGATTCCTGCTGCGGCGAATGGCCACACCCACCGATGGTGAGGAAGGGGAGGACAGTGTCATTGACAGTCAGCGACGCTGCCAATGCAAAGATGATGCTCAGACAGAAGTGCAGCCTGGCAGCTGAGCTGCTCTGATCAGACTGGTGTGCTTGCCGACACCGCTCATTTGCGTGCTTTGTTGTCTCTTCTAATTGTCATGTTATACATTTTTGTATGTGTGTGTGTATGTCACTGTCAGGTGTTGTGAGTGACCGTTCGTCCGAGTGTGTGGAGCTGCTCGTGTCGAGGACGCAGCTCGAGATCTTGCAGGAATACCACGACACCATTAAGGTACGTGACTGACGTGACCCACACCATTTACTACTACCACTGCATGGTGTGGATGACGGACGATGTGTGCGTGTTGTCGATCTGCATTGCAGACATTGGTGCAGACGTGTCACATCGCCCCTCCCCTGAAGCCCGACCGATCAGCGCCACACCTCTACTGGATCAGGCTAAGAGGTACGCACCGCACGCACACCACACACAAGCACACGGACACATGTCAAGAGAGGGAGGGAGGGAAAGGACTGTCTTTGTTGTTCTGTGTGTGTGTGCAGGCACCGCCGAGTCGATTCACGCTGCTCAGCGGTTGTGTCACGACATGTGCTACTACTCCTTTTGCCACGAACAGCAGCAGGCCACCTACGACCCCAACTGACCCACACCCTCACTCGCTGACTCGCTCGCTTGCTCGACTGACTCCCTCACTCACTGTCTCCTCACCTGACTGACACACGACCGACACACATGATGGATGGATGGATAACGCTTGTTATGTGGCACCAAACCGTTCATTTCTGCATGCCATGGGGAGGAGGGGAGGGCACTGTATATGTCAAATGTATTCATGCCGAGTGAGTGAGTGAGTGAAAGGATGGCTGAGTGTGTTTGTAAGGTATGGTTTGGTGTGCGTGCGTGCGGAGGGGGCTCCTTTTTCGCGTCGAGTTACCTTATTGATTGCGTGCCTGCGATTTTTTCCGCTGCTCTCACATGCCCATCCTGCCTGCCTCCCTGCCTCCCTGGCTGCACCATGGGACATCGTGTGTGCGTATGTCCTTTCCTTTATTCGAGGGACCGACCGATGGATAACCCACCAACCGCCGGGATGTCTCTATCTCGTCATCTCTCTGTGCATATGGACGTCTTTCTCGAACGCATGTGCGTGTCTGTGTGTATGTGGCGGATGTGGGGGCGGGGCATGGTGTGTGGTGCAGTGCAGCAATGAGTCTCTCAGCGACGAAGGGGGCCGTTTTTGTGAGTGTTGATTGACGGGTGGTGAGAGAGGGCAGGCAGGCGGGCGGCGGGCAGCTTTGTGGGGACATCCACACGTATGCTGCATGCATCAAGCTTGAGGCGCACTGGCACTGCCACCACCTGGTTTGCTTGACTCACTCGTCTGTTTCTCCTTTCTTGTCTTGACGACGGACACGGATGTACCTCGGCCAACGGCAGACGACGAAAGGACAGAGCGTCACAGGGCCCTGCGAGCCTTTTTCGTCGCTGGCTGTGGGTCGAGGGCTTCCATGTCCATCATCTGAAGGAGAACCGCCGATCGTTCCTGTTAGCACTTCTGTTGCGAGCGACGCAAGGCCGAGCCAAAAAGATTGGGGTGGCTGTTTGGGGGTGGCTGCTGGATGGATGGCTGGATGTACTGGTTTCTTTGTCGCTGTGTGGGGGTGGTGTGTGTGTGCATCGATCGCATTGCTCTTTTGAGTGCACTTTATCAATGCATCCAGGCATATGACTCCCTTCAATCAATGGTATGTCGTTCATTGACGGTCATCGCTTAGCTTACCTCACTCCCCACACCCGGACAGAACACGCACATGCACCCCTGACAAACGTTTCTTCGCTCTCATACATCAGTGCAGCCATCGACAGAAATGCACCCGCACCGCACCGCAGCCACCGGCGGAGAGCGATACGACATCGACACCCACCTTTACAGATGACACAGAGTCTCCATCCAATGAACGCTGGCCAACTGCCTGCTTTCATCCGCTCCCGCCGGTGAAGGACGAGTCCATGACGGTGATGGACCTCTGTCTTGCAAGGCACGCAACGCCGCTCGAGCAGCTTTGTCCACTCATCTGGTCGCTGACGCTCGCGTACTGAGGGCCGAGCCTTGGGCCGTCAGCTCAGGTGAGAATGTGCCATGAAGCCTGCAAAGGACACAGCGCAAGAAGACATACAGGCAGACAGACAGACAGACCTACAGACCTACAGGCAGATCGACGAGTGAGGACTCAGTGGCGAGTTGGCGTTGTTGAGGTCTCCGCAGATATAAAATGAAGGCAGCGATCCCTGACACGGACAGAGACACAGAGACATGGAGACACGGCCACTACCCCCGTCGTCGGGCCGACTGGAGCGTCGAGCTGGATGATTGAGTGGTTGGAGGCCTCACCCAATCACTGGCGTCACCCTACACAACACGCACACACACAGACACGCACACACATGGATAGACAACACTGTGTATACGTACATACCTCTATCACTCCGCCTGTCGATCTGACGATCTCACCCTCCCGGCGGTCCTTGCGGAAGGTGTCCAGGCTCTTCTTGGTCACCCTGAACTGCCACGTGTAGCCGTCCCAGCTGCGCCACTCAAAGACCTGGCAAACACAAACATACAACCACACCAGAGAGACACACGACTCGTGTGCAAGGCCCCGACTCTCTCTCTCTCTCTCTCTCTGGTGTGTGTGGCTTACTTACCACGTTGCCCTGTGGGTCAATCTCTTGCACAATAGCCCCCGCGACTCTGGCCTCCTTCTTGCCTCCGTCGACGACGCCAGAGAGATCGAACATTTCGCTGTCGTAGATCATGATAAGTGCGCTGCCGTCCTCCTTGAGCTGGAAGCCATATAGGTCTTTGAGAACGATGAGTGCTGAATACATATACAGGCCAGGATGCTGTAGCATGCCAACAACACGCAGATGCATCTCATGAATGGTGGAGGCACTAGTAGTCAGAAGATGAGAACGCACACGAGGCTCAGCGCCCCCAACGAACGCGATGCTCCTTGCCATATTGATCATCAAGGCAAAGAGTTGTTTGTTGTTTTCATTCGGGGAGACGATCCAACAAAGCTCGCGTCCCTTTCTCGTGGGGGTCCGTATGGCCTCTGCATTACATACATCCATCTCATCTTTGGTCCGCTTCTCGCCGGTACCCCACAGTCTCGGGCACGACAGCGGTTGTCCTGTTGAGAGACGTCATCTGCTCGTGCCGTGCAGCTTGGTGCCGCAGCTGCCCGTTGCGGATGGACAGGTCAGCACCATCGATTGGACCGAAGAAGGCGATCACATCGCTCGGGAAGCGCTGAGACCGCAGCCGCTTGAGCACCTTGCCGGGATACGACGGCACGAAATGCCTGATCCATGGCACGAGCTGCTCCTTGACCAGACCAAACGACAAAGCTGCATGACGCCAACCACACCACCAACACAACACATCCATCCATCCATCCATCCGACGGTCCCGGATGAGTGACACGCATACGTACCTCCATGTGGGATGGCGTGTTCAGGCCTGAAGTTCCACCAGTCGCCCGGCTTGCGGGGCGCCCTCTCCCGTCCACCCATCGATCCTCACCGCCACTGACGGCCTCAGAAACTGTCGACAAACCAAACCAAACCAGGCCATGCTATATATCAACAGCGATGGAAAAATCGCGCTTGGCTGCGGCACATGTGGGGGCGGGGGGGCCGGGCCGTCGTGTGTGTGGTTGAGGAACGGTTTGAGGAACGGTGCGCCACCATCCGCCCCGCCAGAGGGAAAGATGTGAGGCGGCTCCAGCGGCTTGATGGACGACATCGACATTGACATTGACGGCACGAACGGGGCTGCCAGGGACGAGAACGCCCGCTGCCCGCCCTTGAGCTGGTCCCCGCCCGCCGCGTCAGGCGTAGTGCTGCCGTCGAACATCTCGATCGGCTGCGAGTCGGCGCGAACGAAGCCGTGTGCCGGCACAGAAGGCGGCGAGCGATTCGAGGGTGAGGATGTCCCGCCGGCGGCTGACGAGGATCCGGCCGAGAGGGGTGCCATGGTGTCGTCCATCATCCTGGGTGTGTCCCCCTCGCCCGTCGGACCCGTCATGAGGTTGGCCTTGTCGGCCGTCTTGGGGCCAATGAGAGGCGGGCCGACAGCGATGACCTCGGGGCGCTTGCTGGCGAACAACTGGGGGAACCACTGCTCGAGGATGGAGGGGCTATCCCGCTCCCCGCCTCCGCCAGCCTCCTCATCAGTCTGATCGTCGACAGTCCCGCTCAGTCCTGTCAGCTCCTCGGGGCCCCATACTCCAGACACAGGGTGAACTTGGACGTCATTGCCCTCCTGCGATCCCACTCTATCCTGTCATTAATCGACGACACACACACACACACACTCTCATGTGCGAAGGCCGCGGCGTGTCGCTTCTCCCTGGTTGGCGTGTGTGTGTGAGCCACACGGTGGGCAGGCTATCAGAAGGGCGAGGGATGCTGGAGGACGGCAGGACAGTTGCGAATCGGCTTGGGATGCCCACATGCCCGCGGGTTCTTCATGCGGTTGACAGATGCCACCCAGCTGGTTCTTCATGCGACGTCGCTGTGTGTCTGACACGCCCTCGGACACAGGGGTGGTCTGGCATGCTCGCTACACTCGTCCATCGCCTTTGGGCTCGCCATCACTCCAAACGCTCTCCTCGTCGTCGTCAGCTGCTGCTGCTGCGGAACGCCCCAACCCGACCAAACACAGAGAGAGGGAAGGGAAAGAGGAGGGCAAATTTGCCCTTCTTTGTGAGCGGAGAGGATGACGGAAGAGGGTTGCCATCATGCTGATGAAGGAAACGCGGACAATGACTCTTCTTTTCGAAAAAGACGGCGTTCCCGTCTCGTGGGGCCACGGAATACTCGCAAGTGGAATTCTCGTCGACTTTCCAAGGAACTTTTAAGCCACCCGTTCCCTCCTGTTCTGCGTGTGAGAGCGTCGATGGGTGAGGGAGAAACACTTAGTTTGGTTGTGATTTCGCCGCCCAATCACCCCCTTGTGTAAGGGCGAGCTTTTCACCGAGGCGAGCTTTTCGGTGAAATGCTTTTTCAGCACACACACACGCACTATGATAGAACTCGCTCGTTCGCTAGTGTTCGTCGGGGCTCTGGCCTTCTCGCTTGTAATCCCAATTGGTGTACTCCTCACGTAAGAACACGCACAGCGGGATGCGGGGATGGACGAGATGCATCTGAATCTGTTGGTATGCCGTTACTCATTGCCGTGGCATCCTTGTTTGGTTTGCGTTCAGCACGAGCCATGCTCCCCAAGCCCTCGAATGCCGGGAGGGTGAGACCACCATGCATGCATTCACAAAAGAGAAGAGATCCAGTGGACGGCAGGCATAGCGCATGTGTATGCGTTGTGCGTGTTGCAGCTGAGGGGAAAGGCATAACGTGCTACGAGGCCAGCAGTCGCCGGCCTCGTATGGAGGTATGCGCGCACGCAGAACCGCGTTGGGTGGGTCATTCACCCCTGTGTGTGTCGTGTGTGTGTAGGCTTCTGTTGAGGTGGATGGCAAGGCGGGTCAGGTGCCTGAGGGGTGGCGTCACAAATCGACCAAACCGGTGAGCGAGCGACAAACAGCTGACAGACAGACCTGCGAGCCTTCTAGCCTAACCATCCCCTTGTCCGTACGTGACCGAAGGACACCGATTCCGACGACACGCATTCGTCGACCGAGGGATGGCGGTGGGGCGTTGGCAGTGGCAGCGGACAGGGGGACGGATGGTTGCCGCAGACCATCGCACCCAACACCCACCCGGACCCTCCCCCTGCTTTGCCGTCACACAACAACAAGTTCAACCCCGATGTGGCACAGGCCAGCAGCACTCGCCTCAAGCAGCAGCGCCAGCAGCAGGGTGGTGGCCCGGGCACTGGGACCTTTCTCACGCCCATTGGCCGCGGGGTGAGATGGGGCTCATCAGCTGCAGCAGGGTACGCCTATAACAGCTCCCAATCCTCGCGAAGCAGCGATGAGGACGGCCCCCAGTCGATTGAGCTGACAGGACTGGACGAGACCTTGATGCGCCAGAAGCTCCGTCAGATGGTGCGGAATCGAGGCGGGATTGCGGACGAGAATGACAGTGACGACCAGCTGGCCATGGTTGAGGAGAACCTCAGCCTGGTGCACTCGCTCCAGGGAGAGATCGAGCAGAACCGCTACTTGCGAGCCGAGCACGATCCGGATAAGAGAGCTGTAGAGCCATTCATGACGCAGCTAATGCAGAACGAGGTGGGCACCAGAAGGAACTCAAACACACGCATGAGCAATGACTTTGTGTCCTCGGTTGATTCTCGTACATCAGGCGGGTGCCAAGGGAGACCGTGTTGGTGCCGACACAGAGGACACTGATGGCGATGCAGCGCCCCCAAGCCACCAGCCCAGCGGCTTCCCTTCCCCACAGGCCAGCAGCACTCGCCTCAAGCAGCAGCGCCAGCAGCAGGGTGGTGGTCCGGGCACTGGGACCTTTCTCACGCCCATTGGCCGCGGGTGAGATGGGGCTCATCAGCTGCAGCAGGGTACGCCTATAACAGCTCCCAATCCTCGCGAAGCAGCGATGAGGACGGCCCCCAGTCGATTGAGCTGACAGGACTGGACGAGACCTTGATGCGCCAGAAGCTCCGTCAGATGGTGCGGAATCGAGGCGGGATTGCGGACGAGAATGACAGTGACGACCAGCTGGCCATGGTTGAGGAGAACCTCAGCCTGCTGCAATCGCTCCAGGGAGAGATCGAGCAGAACCGCTACTTCTCCAAACCGACCTTCAGCGACTCAGAGGAGGACAAGGAGCGAGAAGGGAAGCTGCAGCAAGGCATGATGCCCAACTTTGGCGACCTCTCCCAGCAGCTGGGCGAGGCCGACTTCCTCCAGAAGGGGGGCTCGCCCCTCTGCTTCGGCAACAATCTCAACAGTACCCTCGGCATCCCGCCGTCATCGGCATCAGGCGCCGTCCAGCGGCGTGCTCGCCGGCGGGCGGGCAACGACGATAGGTCAGGAGGCCATGTGGCGGTGGCGGCCGTGTTTCTCCATCAAGGCCTCTATCGAAGGGGCAAGTCGTCGCCAGCGCTGATGATGCGGCCGGTGAGTGAGTGGAAACACAGGCAGGGAAGCCTACGCTGGTGCACCGCACCGTGCGTGTGTGTGTTGATGCAGACGGAGGGGGGGCGCCGCTTCGTGTGGCAGGACATCGTCAACGGCGCGGCACTGATCCCGGTGGGCAGTGCACCCACCCCACAAACACGCCTTGTTTACGGCTGTTGAACTGAGAGGGCCTCCCTCGTTCGCTGGCTGTGCTTACCTTCAGGACGCGGTGGCGGCTGTGGTGCAGCAGGTGGTCGGGGTGCCGCAGGTGAGAGAGAAACACACACCGCAAACAGACAGACCTGACGACACAATACAATCCGCTGACTGCGTGTGCTGTGCTGCCTTGGTTTGATGTGTGCGGCACAGGTGCTCTACATACCTGCACACCCCGTGCACCCGGCCATCGTGCTGCCGCAGCCCGTCGCCGCCCTGCCTTCCGCACCTGCCCCAGCCGCAGTGCCGCCCGTGGTGGTGGTGGTGGTGCCGCCCCCGCCCCAGCTGCCGCTGCCAGTGCGGGAGCAGGCCCGCAAGATGGCGGCCTATGATAAGCTGGTGGCGGAGGGCTGGCGCACCTGGCTGGCATACATCATGGCGACCTGAGCCCATGGCCGGCCGTACACAGGGGGGATAAGGGGACGCGCGGGCTCAGGGTAGATGGTGATGATATTCGTACGTCCGTCCGTCGTAGACCTGTCTGTCTGTCTGTCTGCTGACTAGCGCTTTGTTTTTCGATTTGTCGAGTTTGTGGTGCTGTGTGTGTGTCTGTGTGGGTTTTCTTTGTGGTTCATCGGCGTGCTGTGCTGTGTGTGCCGTTTCTGTGGTGTGTGGTTTTCTTTGTCGATCGATTTACCCCTGTGCTGTGCTGCTGCTGTTTTTTCAAAGACACACATATATATATGCAAACACACATACACACACACACACGCACACTAGCCGCCATGAGGGAGAGAGCCACCACCGATGGATGGATGGATGGATTGATCAGGTGCATCAACTGCCAGTCAGTGGTGTGTGCGGGTGGACTGCAGGGGGAGGGGTCTGTCCCTTTCTGTGTGTGTGGTTGTTTGTTTAGTTTTGATTTAGAGAAGCCCATCGCAGCGTGTGTCTGAGGGCATTTACAGTAGTGCCCTTTTCGTCTGACTGTCTCTGTGTGTGTCTCTGTGTGTGTCTGTGTGTGTGTGGTCATCAATGTGTGTGGCCGTTGAGGGGGTTGTTGCATTTGTCGTCTGTGTGCACCGCCGTCCTTGTTCCATTTGTGTGTCGTGTCGCGTGGGAGGGGAACTCATCGTCCGCCTGGGCATCATTTATTGGAGGTCGGGAGCTCATGGAAGGAAGGGCTGCAGGCAGTCTTCTTTTTGTCGATTGGTTGACGGGTGGCTGGGTGGCCTCCCCACGGGCGCGTGTGTGGCTGGACCACGTGGGGCGGGACCTTATATCCCGACCCCCCGCGTGTGTCTGGTCGCCGCGTGAACGTGGGCACGTGCCGGCCAGCCACCAACACCACTTTTCTTTGTCAGTCGCGTGTCGCTTTATCGTTCGTCAATCGTGTGTCTGTATTGTCCTTATGAATCACTGTCTGGCTGGCCTCTCCATGAGCACTGGCAGTGTGTGGCGCTCACTGCGTGGGGGCGGGACCTTATATCCCGACACCTCCATGTCTGTGGGTGGCCACAACTGCAAGATCATGGGGATGTGTCGGCTGGTCGGCGCTGTCGCTCTTGTCATCCGTCGATTCTGTTTTGTGTTTCTCGTCGTTCGTTTCTTTTGCGGCGTGGTGACGATGGGTATTTTCTGAAGGGGTGTGTGTGCGTGGCCGCTTCGTGTAGCGCTTCATCGTTTGTGCCCTGGTTGGCTGTATGTATGTTATCGCTGGCGTGTCTGTGTGTGTATGGTCTGCGTGTGGTGGTGGTGGTAGGCTGTTTCTGGCACCCGACTGTCTGTCTGCTTGACTCGCGTGTTTGCCGCGTGTTGGGGGGGGGGGGGGGGGGGGGG